ATGAGAAATGATTTATTCAATTAGAATACAAAAAATATACAGAGCACTAAATTAATTCTCAAAATACATAACTTTATGATCAATTACATAGTAAATACATCAGGATATTCACAATGTATTAAGGTTATTATTAAGGACAGTTTTTATTTTACTGATGCTGTGTGGAAGTCTTGGTTAGTAAGTAGATTGTACTGCTTTATCAAATCGTCGGTAAACTGGTATTTCAGTAATAGGGTTGAAATTTGAGGTAACAGACTTATTGTTAAGGAGTTATAGAGTTTTCACATTTCAAATACAATGTTAAAAGTTTCTATTTAGGGAGGGAGTCTATGAAGAGGCTACTGGGACCTCTTATAAAAAAGTTATAAAGGAGTCTGCAGAGGAGAGTCTGTCATAAACTATGAAAATAAAAGCCAGAAGTTCGATATTGACCTGTACTTGGCAAATCAATTGACTGTATGAAAGTCTCTTTGATACAGTTCTTTATCGGATTCTGCAGTCTGATCCTATCTTAGGCTCAATTTAACATTTTATGAGAGTCCTTTATGAGCCGGGCACTGTGCTAAACATTAGAGATACAAAATGATCAAAGTACGGTCACTCCTCACAAAAAGATAATCACAACGCAGATAGATAAGGGCAGTGAAAGGGATAAGTGCAGGGTGCAATGCAGGAGCCAGAGAGGGACTCCTCACCCCAGGCATGGAAGCGGGGAGATGGGGAGCTGCAGGTCAGGATTAGTTGGAAGAAGCGATGCCTAAGTTCAGACAAAATTGTCAGTTTTCATTTCATTAAGAACTAATTAGAACAAAGATCGTTTATCACATTATGAACAAATAGTAAACTTTAAAAGAATTATATTTATACTAATCTAATCAATGAAAACAAATGGTATGTATTTTTTGAAGCTACAATAGGGGCTTGAGTGTTATTCAAACAGATTCTTCGAAGAAATAAAATTCCTAGAATTTGCTCAGTCTCATGCCAAAGCAGATTGTTCAAATCAGATTAAATTTACCCTGCTCTTATCTCCAAAGAAAGTGATAGATAGATCAGATGCTTAACATATATAATGTTAATATAGAAATATGTCAGAAGCCAGACAGTCTCCCTGTTCTTTTAGAAGTAATTCCGTAGAATTTAATCAGTTTATAGATCAGATGAGTTTTCATTTGCATATGCTTCCTCTACACAATCAATGAAGTGTGCACTTTGCTTATGCAGAAACTGTCTCAGTTTCCACTTCCTTCCATTTGATGTGGCACCAATTCTAGATGTCCACAAAAATTACATGATGACTGATGTTGCTGAACACTTGAATTGTTTAGAAATAGATATTTGTTTGTTTTACTTCCATAACTGTCTTTAAAAGCCATTGAATCAAAATGTTTTTAAAGAGTTCTTGAGTCCTTTCTGACTGGTGATGTATTTAGAAGAAATGGTGTCGGGGTCTTCTCACATTGACTCCATGTGTTAGGATGAACTTCATTTCTCAGAATATTTGTGGTAAAAGAAACCTTTGATAATCACTTACTTAAATCCCTTCATCTTATCACTGAGGAAAACAAGCCTGATGAAGCCCAGTGGGCGGCCCCATCCCAACAGCAAGATACTCTGGTGCCAGGCTGAGGGCCTTAGTCACCATCTTCCAAAGTCAAAGTCTCTGACACCTTACACTTTAATGTACATACAAATCTTTTGGGGATCTTGTTAAAAAGGAAGATTCTTATTCAGTAGTTCTGGACCGGGGCCTGAGGTTCAGCATTTCTACTAACAAGATCCCAGGAGATGCTGGTGCTGTTGGTCCATGGACCACATTTTGAATAAAAAATAAGGCTTTCCACTAAGAAAATGTGTCTGAGTGAAGGTCAACATTAGTGAAAGGATAGTTTTGATTCAGAGAGAGCTGGTAATCCCACTCCCCCCCCAAAATTTGCATACCTTAAAGATCTAGTGTTACTGCACCAAATATTCTGTATCATCTTATGACAGAGATAAACCACTATGCTATAATGCTAGTTTTCTAGGAAACATCATTTTAGAAGTTCATACTAATTAGAAAACTGATGGGGTAAGATTTTGATCTTCTTCACCTAGTTGTCCTGTGCCCTCTGATCTCAGAACTTTCATCTAAGACGTATAAATGACGATTTTCTAATAAAATACATATCCCTCTCTTAAGGGATTCATGATTCCTCAACTATTTGTTAATTATATGATCCTTAAAGAAGTTCATTTCTGAACTCAAATGATGCACCCAAGCTTTCTTGCACTCTCCCTCCCTCCCTCCCACTGTCTCTCTCTGCCTCCCTCCTTCCCTCCTCCCACCACATACGCACATACAGTATTCACATATCTCTTATACCATGCTCTTTGTATGAAACAAGTTGATGATTGTGTGATTGATATGAGAATTTTAATTTTTTTCAAGAAGGTAAACAAGTAACATGAAATGGTCAATATAGAATATATCTTTAATTCTGGAATTCCCTGCCTAATTATAAGGTATGTCTATATGGATTTTTAGTCCTGGTTCAGAAACAAATGCACAAATAAAAACCTCCAATACTTCAGAAATTATTATGTCAATTAAGTATTTGGAAAGTAGGTTGCCATGTATTTTTCTTATATATCCATGAAGACATTCTTATTGAAGCTTATAGCATGACATCTTTACGAGAAATGACCCAACTTCACACGTTATATTTCTTATTTCTGTATTTCTCTAGGTGGATCTTTTATTTACTGCAGCAAAAATATTCTAACCAAAATAACCAGTTCAATTATATAAAAGTGTTGTGAAGCATTCAAATGGACTATATCAATCAATACAAGATGTTTATTGTTAAGCTTATTTATATTATTTTTAACGTTCATTTGTACTTTAAGTTTATACAAGTATGCAAGGGAATAAAAATTGGCAACTTCCAATATTTTATCTTGCAGGCAATTTTTCATGAAATAGGAGAATTAGATGTACCAAATCACATGATAACTTTTTTTGGCATTGAATTTGGCTTTAAGGGAACTAAAAAAAAAAATCACCCTTGTATTAGTAAAAATAAATAGTTTTATTCACATCTCTTTAATGCCAAAAGGTAGTGTTTATTTCTAATTTACTCTGGAGGAGAAAGGGTTGTGTGTAAATCATGAAGCATGTGCTATCAGAACTAAATTATATTAGGTAAGTGCTTTGCATGATAGTTATGGTATAGACGAACTATTAAGAATAGTCATAGCTATGGATCTTGAGCATCTTTAAGTATATTTGCTTCCTAGAACCTTTTGATGGCGCAGCTTATTAGAACATGATACTGGGTAGACTGAATCCCATCTGAATTGCTTTAGTTACTGGAGTAACAACTCAGAAAGAGCAGTCGTAAAAGATATTTAGGCACAACAACCCTACTGCATGACCTCAAAACAATATTATATCAAGATTCTAGAATTTTGATAGGTAAATGTATATGAGTAAAATGTAAATTTTATACTATTTCAAAATAGTTTTACCTTAATATCAAATTAACATCTATCAAGTACTACTATAGAATAGCTTTAATTTTTAAAATGTATTTGTCTTTGATTTGGGGTAATTGGATGAAGTGAAATTTGTTCTAATAATAAATCTGCCTCTTTCAACATTAAAAATGAGACCTAATTGGTAATATCTTTAAAAAAAAAAAAAACAGAGAATGTAGTTTTTTTTGTCAGTACTCACTAGAGTGTAAAAGTGCTTGACTTCTATTATAGTTTGATGATTTAACGTATAACATAAAATTACTTGTGAAATAAGTACAAATTGAATATCTATAAAAGATAAAGCTCAGAATCATTTAAAGAATTGAAGATTATGGATGAAACCATGTGAGCTCTTACTAAAACCAGTATTTGTTTTTTAAATTTACTTTTCAATTACAGTTGACAGACAGTCTTATATTACTTGGTATATATGGGTATAAACATAGTGACTAGATGTTTCTATACCTTACAAAGTGATCACCCTGATTAATGTGATCAGTGGCAAATATGGAAATGCCAAAGGGAAAATGGCTTGGCTCCCCAGGCCTTGCCGCCCCTATTCAACTTTTCAATCTCACTCTAGTTAAATTTCAGTTAATTGATTTTATGAAGACTGAAGTAAATAACAACAAAAATATATATCTCACAGTTTTCACGGAACATGGTTTTCTAAATGTTTTGTCTTTTCCTTTTCTTTATGTTCGGTCACCAGGTCATTTGTGGGAATCCCTGTATTCCGTAGGCGGAAAATCGCCAGTCTGAAAGTTCGGTGTCCTTAGCGTTCTATTGCTTATCACGTTTTTGCCCTCTAGGTGCCAACCTGGATTCACTGGAGCAAGATGTACTGAGAATGTGCCCATGAAAGTCCAAAACCAAGAAAGTATGTTAAAATAATCTGAAATTTGCTTTCTCCCACAAATTACAGCAACAATCGCTACCACTTGGTGCTTTTACAGCTCAGTCGTAACTGATTCCTTTTGTTCTGATTATGGTTTAACCACTGGGGGCATAAACCATTCAATATGGCCTTGTTTAACTGTCTGTCAACATGGGCCCCGAGGGTCACAAATTTAAAAGAATGACCCATCAGGATGGCCAGGGATGTTCGCAATCGTGACAGGCAGGCCAACCAAAAGAGAGAACATTTCCTTACAACATTTTGATCAAAGCTATGAAATGGAAAACTGAGATGAAGAAAAACTCAGATTTAATTTTAAGTGGCTCCCTTTGAAAGAAAACAGTCACTTAAAATGCTGGGATCTTTCTGTCATGTAAAACCAAGGACTACCTTTTGTCCAAATTGTTAACCCTTTGAGGAAAATGCTAGCATCTGAAAGCCATGATTCGGACAAAGACTCAGTTCCTGAGGGTGAACTCACCAAGTTCAGTCAAAAGACACTGAAGGAGCTTCTTTCTAGCATATATTCACCTCTTCTCTTTTCTCTGTTTTTTCTACCATTGTTTTTTGTTTCTTCTCTCAGGTGCCCAAATGAGTTTACTGGTGATCGCTGCCAAAACTACGTAATGGCCAGCTTCTACAGTACGTCCACTCCCTTTCTGTCTCTGCCTGAATAGGAGCATGCTCAGTCGGTGCTGCTTTCTTGTTGCTGCATCTCCCCTCAGATTTCACCTAGAGCTAGATGTGTTTTACCAGGTCTAACACTGACTGCCTCTGCCTGTCGCATGAGAACATTAACAAAAGAGATTGTATTACTTCCTCTGTTCGTGACTAGTTGGCTCTGAGAATCTAATAGGTGTGTGAGGCTCCCGATGTTTCTGAAATTGATATTGAATAATGTGATAAAAATGATAGTCAATATCAAGCAGTGCAATTATAATAAAGGCATTTAAAAGTCTCACTTTTATTGATAAAATAAAATCGTTCCACTGAACAGTCCATCTTCTTTATAAAATGACAACATCCTGAAAAAGATGTTGCTAAGTTGTAATCAATATGCACTTGAAATGATGGTAAGTTAATTTTGGTTCAGAGTGTATTTATAATGAATAAACTTAATAAAAAGAGTTCAGATGTTTTTCTTCATTAACTAGCAGTTTGCATTTAGGTATAAAAAAAAAATCACTGAATAGGAAAATTAAAAACAAACATTTCACAGCAAATGAGATAGCCTAACTTCAACTTATGTTGCTTAGGAAACAAGTGATTCAGGACTAGTTTAAACAATCATTTATTTATGTTAGCATTTCTTTATGCTACTTTCAATGATGATTTTTAGAGGGAAATCGTTGTTTTAAACTAATATTTATTTTGAAATATAACAGTTCACCTCTAGATACATATTTTTAAATGCAGAACTACAAAAGTTTGATGGATTTCTATGGCTTCATAAAGTTTTGAATATCATTTCTAAAAGACCCAATTCACATTGAATATAATTGCATGGATAACTAAACTGAATTTGTCCTATTATGAATCAGGACTATAGCTTTTAATTCTGGAGCTTTCAAAGCTTCGTATTTAAAAAGGATCTTGTATGACTATCCATTTAGATCAAAGGTTGACATCTTTTTTTTTCTGGAAAGGATCAGACAATAAATACTTTAGGTTTTCCGGGTAATATCATCTATGTCACCGCTACTCAACTGTGTAGCTGTGATGGTAGCACAAAAGCAGCCACAGACAGTGTGTAAACTGGTGAGCATGGCCGTGTGCTGTTAAAACTTTATTTACAAAAGCAGGCAGTGAGTGGGCTGGATTTGTCAACCTCTGATTTAGATTGTCAGTTGCTCACTCTGAAAATATTTCACATAACTTATTGAAGTATGCATTTATGTAACACAAGAAACAGTGATACAAGCTGGTCATTTGGGGTCCCAAATGGAATTAGAGATTTACCCTTATTCATATGCATGCAAAGCATAAGAATCTATTGATCATGTTAACAGTCATAGAAGAATAAATTCCATGGAAAAATAAATTCCATATGCGTTATGGGGAGATTAGACCCATAATGTTCGATTGTTTATTTAGTGAAGTGGTACTTATTATATATTTATATAGGCTACATATCAAAGATTATGTTATCAGCTGTTTTCTGTTATGAAAAACTGGTAAATCGACATTACTAAATTTTCAAATTCAGTCTTCGTTTTATTCGCAAATCTTTAATATGCATTTAGTGAACAGATTTTTTTGTACATAGCTATAGATTAATTTTTTTATATGTAGATAAAATGGAATGTAAAAATAGAAAGGAAATAATAGAATTTAACTTACTATGTTCAAGCCATTTCTTTTAGAAATGTGTGTGTGTTCAAATAAGATAAATTTAGCAAATCCATGTAACTGTATAAATATAATGAAATTATATTGTCTAATTTAATGAAAATTCTGAACATTTGCATTATGCTTAAATTTTTGGTGTTATATAGTTTCATTGTATGCTGAAGGCAATGTCGGGGTACCATATAGAGAAAACCATTAAAAATGAAGATATTTCTCAAAATAATAATGCAGATGTATCTGGCAGTAGTAACCGGAGAAAATGTTCTAAATGTCTCTTTTAGACCATTATCTTTCATAAAATATTATTTTAAAAGAGCCACTATGTATTTAATCAGAGTGTGATTCCTTAAATAACTTTAAATTCTTTAGTAAGCTTTCAGTGGCACTTTTGGAAAACATCCAGGAAAGCAGCATTCATATTTAACCTGATTTAACAAAGATTGATAGGAAGCACATTTATGAACAAAATCTGTAATGACTGTGCATCCGTGCTGCCTCATGCCTGGAAAAGCAAGGACTTCCCATCAGAAACTGCTTTCCAAAGTTATCCAGAGTTAATTTTCTAACCTCTATGTCTTAAATTCTCAGTTTTTATTTCTGCAAACTCCCCCAAAGAAGGCAGGAAAATAAATTTTTGCTGCTCCAAGTAGCAATGAGAGCTGCACAAAGAATAAAAACCGTTGCCACAGTGATAACGTTTAAAATTAATTGTTTATATTCATGAAGTCTGAAACGCATAACATAAATTTTAAAAGATATTCCCCAGCTTTTAAGAGAAACATTTTTCAACTTACCAAACCACATTTTCAGTTGAAAAATAACATTCTAAAAAAAATGTGCAATTTTACAATGCTTATTAACACAAATTATATTATTAGGAGTTGATGTAACTTTTCCGGTCAGAGTATCCTATGGGGCATGTATTGATTTATAAAAACTGGCTTAATATGAAGAAAGAAACAAATGTATATTTTATATGGCTTTCTTGAAGAAAGCCATGTGTTTTGAAATAAAACATATTTATATTACTTTCTAGGACAATATTGTCAAGGCTAGTCAGCTTCAAATTTGACCTATTAACACAGAATTCCTACTTGAAAGGATTGTGTTCATCAATGTGTGTGAGCATACGTGTGTGTGTGTGTGTGTGTGTGTGTGTGTGGTGTGTGTGTGTATAGGCAATCTATAATCAATTTATAGATTTTATAGAGAGGGAAAAAAAAGTATTCACAGCTTCAATAGCTAGAGGAAGTATGGGGCAAGTACGTCATATATAAACTAACATATTATAGGAAGTAATTATAGAATAGCCCAAATTATAGAATATTTTAATAAGTACAATTTTAGAACTTTTAGGCATGATCTCAAAATGAGTAACCTTAACATATATTCTTAAAAGTAGCTTTGAATCATAGTGCTTAAATTATTTATGTTGATTTCTAAATGCTTTTTAAATCTGTTAAAGTTATTAATTTATGTATCAAAAATGTATATCTTGCTGACAGTAGAATAAAGGCATACTCAATCTATGACAAAATTATCAAAAATTCCAACTGAGTGTTAGTGAGATTTTACTGTGTGTGTGTTTGTGAATGTGCTCTTGTGTACATGGAAACTTGGAAGTAAGGAGAAAGGTCTCCTATTACATTTTGAAGGGCTCAGTGGCAAAAAAAAAAAAAAAAAAACTATCTACATTTGTAAAGGTAAGTTGAAAATTAAATGCCAAACACTGAGTTTGTCCTGTTTAGAACTGACATTGACCAAACTCCTTTAGAAATCTCAGAGACGTGGAAAGGCAAGACTATACATAAGTCTTTGAGACCATTTCCACAATGAGGCCCAAGATGTTAAAGAGTGAAGTCTTAAATGTCTTCAAATTTTAACAGAAACCGTAATTGCATGTACATATAATTTTGCTAAAAGAAAGTTGTTTCATTGTTTTTTTTTTTTTTCTCTAATGGAATTGAAAATTTAAATTAACCTACAGGTTAATCAGTTTTCTTCAAACAATTATAAAATCCTAAGCAAAGAATTAGTGAGTCAATATTTAATAGTTTTTCTGAAGACTCTTAGATTTAAATTAATTTTTTATATTGCTTTCTGCACAGCAGGAAATCACATGTAGAAAAGGAAACTAAATTGTTTACAGTAACCTTTGAGTTTTTGAATTATTAATTTAATTTGAAAAATGTAGTGGGTAGGCAGAAGTTCAATAGGAAGTGTATGATACATAATGAGCCTAAGCCAACATTAGATTAAATAGAACAGATAGAAAATAGTAACCTCTTTATAAAATGAAAAGTGTTTGTATATTCTGCTTTTCTTGACTCACAATGAAAGAAACGTAGGCACCAATAGTAAAAATAAATTAGAGCAGTATTTGCTCCAGGTCTAGAATGACTGATGCATGTTTCCTCTGCTTGTTTCCTTGTTAGGGCTTATGGCCAGAAGAGATTCTAGTTTTAAGTACCAATTTCCTTTTGAATTATTTGAAATTGAAGCTGCCTGATATGAATGACTTCCCATGAAATGAAATTATAGTTAGGCTCACAGACTTACCTATAAAACTGTAAATGCAGTAATATGTATGCATGGGCATGCTACTAATTTTATTGAAGACTTAACCAAGCTTTCTACGCAACTAATATATATCATTAGCAGTGTTCACGTAGGCATAGAATAATGATTCTCTGGAAAGAGTTTCTGTAAATATCTCTTGATTTTAACCCTTAAATTATTACTGATGGGTAGGAGGAAAAGATGAGAGATGGAGGTGGTTCTAGGGAAAAAAATTGATTGTACCCTCATGGAAATATGTAAGGAAATTGATTATCACATACTCGGAAAATGAATTTTTATTCCTTGGTGTTCCAAAATTTATATAAAGGAAACAAATAGAAAAAAAAAAAAGTCCATTTGTCAAATTGAGTGTTGCACAGAGGCAAGAGATTTGTTTGGATATGAATAAATTGTTATTTTGCTGTGAACATTGTACAACCAAAATAACCCTACATCCTCTGGTTTATCCTGGACCTAAGACAGAGGGGTCTCTCTATTATAATACTGGCTCTCATTATCATTGTTACTCGATTTACTACTTGATATATATATATATATATTTCTTAATCTGGGAAACTTCATTTCCTGGCAAGTTTTTAAAGTATAAATTTTTGACATATCCCAGAAGCATTCAGAGTTTTCCTGACCATGAAATTAGTTAAGAGAAAACCTACATGCAGTAATTGGCCCAAGGTGAGTCTCCAGATGTGTCTGTTCTCCCAGCTATTAAACCCTTCTGCTGTTGGCGGGCATATTTCATGGCTCCTTTATCCTACAGGGTTGCCCTGTGAGCCATGTTAGTACCATAAACATTTTGTCAATGAGAAGTTATGCTGTCCAAGTCAATGAACAGGTAAATGGCAGAGGCAGGACCAGAAACCAGGATGTCTCCAGCACGCTTCCCTTCTACACTGCCCTCTCTCTATGAGGCTCTTTGTCCAAACCCAAACTGATGGTTTTGCACTCCACCACACATTTTGAAAGTTAAGAGATGCCTTGCCATATTTGTGGACCACCTTGGTATCTCTCTGATCAGTGATCAAGGGAAAAAATGTAGACCTCTGAACCTCTGTTTTTATTTTGCCCTTGCCTTTCCACCATACTCGCATAAATAAGGAACTCCTAAAAAGTCCCACCTGGTGAAACTTGGTGAACAATTTTTGTTTCAAGAATGGGATCGGTCATTTCTAGAGGTTTTTTTTTTTTATTTTACTTTGCCCAGTTTTACCCATTTCTCACTTGAGCCTGTGCTGGCTCTACTAGCCCTACGATCCCTGCAATCCTCGTGTCTCTGCAGTCAGATCTGCCAGGACTGGGGGCTGTGGGTTCACTCCTCTGAGTTGCCTTCCACAGCTGCCCTCAGGTCCTCTGAATACCTGTACTTGTCGGCTCTCATCTGGGCATCAGAGCTCAGCACTGTGGAGTGATCATCTAATTGAATTGGCTCTCTGTTATTTAAGGGAGTAATAAATTAAAATTAACTGAAGACCACAGGAATTGTATCTTCCCCCATCTTTTTCTTTTCTACAAGTTTTAAAAGGCATTGAGTTTCCTGCATCACCAGGAATTATATGAAAAAAACTGGAAGCAGATTCTGATGCCCCAGTGCCCTGTCTGGCTTTTGGGAAAGAAGTGTTTGTTAAATACCAGGTAAATATTGGAGAAAGTGGAAGCTTAGGAGAAAAAAGAGAGTTTTTTAAAAGATAAATAAATAACCAAAGCGATGAGAGATATTAGAGCATATCTAATGAAAAATATAAATCCAACGTGATAAAATTTTCAAACCAAATTACTACCCTCTTGGCTTCTGGTCTTGGCTCTGCCACTGTGTGTCTTTGGGTTAAAAAAAAAAAAAAGAAAGAAAAAAATTTTTTTCACTTTTCTGGAACTTTGCTTCTGCCTTTTGAAAAGACAGGAATGAAATAATACCAAATGCCTTTTCTGATTATAAATATGATATTTCTATTCTCAAACAATGAAGGAGCGTAGGATAGTTCAGCTAAACAGCTTCTCCCTCAGTAAGTCTTTTAAGGGTTAATAAAGACACAGTGTGCTGGTATTTGCACACCTTTTAAAAGAGAAGTTCCCTGTGTGGACTCGTGGAGGCGTACCTGAGCACTGCTTCGTTAACCAACACCGTTTGTCCTGCTCGATGTGCACGCACAGAGCCGTAATAGTCATGTGTAATGTGTTTTGGAGTGCAGTGTATTGCTCTTTTCTGAAACTTTTTCCCTTTCTTTCTTTTTTTTGTCAACTTTCTGCATTGGCAGAGCATCTTGGGATTGAATTTATGGGTATGGACCAATCATCATTCCTTTTAGCCTGCAGAATTTAGAGCCTATGAGCTGAAATCTTTTTCCCTTCCTCCTCTTACCTTTCAGTTCCTAACTAATTTCCTTTTTCTTTAGAAGGGATCATACAGCTATAACAATGATTTCTCTGCTTTCAACCTATGATTAGTTTACTGAAACGTTACTGAGTGCAGCAGCTTTTAGATTCCCAAACTTCACTTAGAGTTTAAAATCACCTCACCTGCTACAAATTCACATCTATCCCACGTTCTTTGACTCACTAATTGGATCTGGCCATGCTGTTATTTCAGAGCAGGGGTAAGTTGGAGTGGTGCAGAAGGCTACAGGGAAGAACCAAACCAGGGGCTTGAGAACCAAAGAAACTTTAAAATGCATCACCTTAAAAAACACCACATCTTAGGCTGATGGGAGTTTGACATACGATGTAAAAATCATATATTTAATATAATAGCATAGAAAGCCCTTACCTTACAACACGATATTATACGAACGGGCATAAACTGCTCTGATTTTCTGGAGATATTCAAGCACAACTCTGGCCAACTTCATTATCTTATAAAAAAGGAAATAGAAACAGAAAGAAATAAGCCTTGCGCTATTTTAAGTGGAAGTTCTAGTCCTAATGGAATTAAACTTGAGTCACTAAGATTATCCAGACCCATAATCAAATAGAAATTTTCACACTGTAAACATAAAATGTCTCCTATAAGCATATGAATTTGGGGCCTGCTTCTTTCGAAGGCCTGCATCCTAAACAGTCTCAGGAGGAAGGAAAGCCAGGCTACCTTCCCAGAGGCTCCACAGCACAGGCCCCGCGACTCCTGAATACCGCGTGCAACCCTGGGACGTGGTCATGGGTCACCAATGTCTTAATTAACAGAATATCTGATCCCCATCCAGCTGGTGTCAGTGACATCATGCAGGGAGGGCACCTTACATTTGATGTTTTCTTTTGGCTGATAACATCACAGTCTCACCTAATGTACCTTCCATTATTTATGGAAAATGAGGCTGTTGCAGGATATAGCAGTTATAGGAATAAAAACTCAATTGCCCATTGCTCCAAAAATTTTTCAGGAGAAAACTATTTGCTTGATGAGAAAAACCCCCTCATTTATATGTAGTTCTTTGCACATCAGAGAACATCTCCCCAAAATGAGATGCGCAGCAGGGCCTACCAACATCACTCTGGTGGCAGGCCGTGTGCATGAGGGGAGTTAGCTATTCGGGTTACTTCCCTCAGGATAAAAATTGTCCCACTTCTAAAAAAACTTATTGGCCTTTCCTGCAGAGAGAGAAAACATTCTACCATCACCTCCAGTCCTCTCAGTAACAGCATCCTCCCCGCTTTATCATTTTAGGGTCTGACTATAGAACTTACTATTTTTATTCCCAAACAGTGAAGTACATACAGTAAAGGATATTTCAGACATACCATTTCTCCTTCGGTAAGATCTTAAGGGTTAGTAAAGACACACTGTACTTGCATTTGAATGTCTCTTAAAGGCAATCTTTGCAGAGGGCTCTTAGTCCCAGGGCCAGAACATTCCATCCTTAAGGAAAATCAGACCTTAAAGGCCAATTAAAATTGAGAAAGGCAAGGCCTCTGTCTCTTGGCCTGGCCAGATCATAGTGAAAAACAAAACAAAACAAAACAATGGTGCTTGATCTGATTCTCTTCAACGCATCCAGCCATAGAGTGAAGTCTCAGAATCATTTCCACTCATTAAGGCAGATCCGCCAACTCGACTGAGGGCTTCTTTTTTTTCAGTGCTGCCTCTAATTTACTCTTGCCCTAATGACCCTGTTACACTAGGAAAAATGAAGAGGGAAAAGGGGTTAATATTATTTCTCATCAAGCATTTTTTTCTTTCAATACATTCATATAGTGTGGGGTCACCTGATCTAGTAAACCACCGGAAAATCAAACAGAAATTTAGACGAGGAGCATTTAACGCTTTCAGTAAAGGCTGATGTGAATACGGAATCCTAACCCCACATCTGTATTCTACAGGCCTTGGCTTTAATTGCTTCATTTCGGCACTTTTGCTTTACCCTTTGGCCTTTATTGGGCTGCCTTTTTATTTCCTTGACTGAATTCACTGGAAAATGTGGGCCTTCCTATATAACATAGGAAGAATGGGTAAGTCATCATATACCATTTGTTCACAAACTCCGGTCAATCTATTCTTTAATAATTAACGACAACCAAAAAACTTCTCAAAAGAATTACTGAGAGTATGTATGATCTTTTGTCCCCACTTATTCTTAAATAAGTCACTTTTTGTAGTTTGCAGAAGCAATTTCCCAGTTTTTTCTAAGGATAGAATGTTAAGAGGTCAATGCCACCAAACCCTTACTGTTCTAAGAGAAGGAAAAATGGAGTCAGCGAAAAAGGACACAGAGAGCAGGGTCTTCATTTTCTTGGCAACAATACTTTTAGACTCCTATTTCTTCACCAACTTGCCACAGCCAAAGGGGCCCTGCTCTGCATCCTGGGCCCCACGGAGAAGGACCTGTGGGGTGCCTCTGCTTCTTAGATGTATATTCTGAAAGCCAATCCAGATGCCAGGTCAAAGAAGAAGCTCCAGTGGCATCAGCTCACAGATTAACACCCTATAAAATGTAATTCCCTGTCCTGTGGCTATGGGGGAGGGGAGGCAGCAGACACAGCCATTAACACAGAAGCATTCACATCCCTTGTCCTCACTTGACTTCTGCAGCACAAAAATATGTGACACCACTCCTACGTCTCCTGGTTCATTGTTTCACCGCAGTGCACCAGCCGCTTTGCTTTCTAATTGTGGCTTCCATGTGACGGCCAGCCTAGGTTAGGAGTTATGCTGTATGGAGTAACCCTTCCAACTCTGCATCCACCTTTTCTTCTCACCTGAGCATTTCCTCCCTCCGGTTTCCTTTTTTTATTTTTCCTCCCTTAGTATCAGGCATGCTGTGCCAGGGACTTCAGATGGCTCCTTCACTTTTAACCTTGTTTTCCCTGGTACCTGAGGTACCTGACTTCCTCCTTCTCTCTGTCATTCTGTCAGTCTGTCTGTCCTCTTGGTTTGTTTTTCTTTTCCACTTCCAACCCTTTTGGTTTGTTTTTGTCTAATCTCTGCGACATTCTAGTCTTTACCCACTGACTTCTGTTCTCCTCCTCCTGTTAATAATCAGTGCTATATTAATTTGATTTGACAACGTTTCTGACCTGTTAACTGGAATTTGATTACCATGGGCTTGGCTTGTAGGAAATGTTTTGTTTAATGATAAGGTCTACTGTATCATAGAAACTAAAACATACTTTTTCATTTCAAGAAAACTTCCTGCAAATTACCCTCCCGACAGAGCAAAAAGGTGTGGTTACTGAGACTGAGAATGTAAACTGAAATTGTTCAGTAAGGCCCCATGTTGATGTCCGCATAAGAGAACTTCATTTGTACAATAGTCCCAGTTCTCGATCAGCTTATTAATCAGATTATCAAGCATAGCCTAAGTGGCTGATTATGTACCAGTTGAGTTCTCTTGGGGAAGTGTAATTAGACTGGTTGGAAGCTTAGTTCCTAAGGGATAAGGTTCACCACTAAATCAGCAAATCTTGCTAAGAACCTAGCCTGCCATAGTAGAATCAAGTTATCCTCGCGAAAAAAAAAAAACTGATTTGCAGATAGGTAGGCTTTCATGAGTAAGAGACTGGTTGCATTTGGGGTACAGTAGTACCTTTAGTTCAAAGTTCTAGGTATCGAACTTCCTTAGTGTAACATATATTAACTAAATTGCCGTATTGGTCAATGCAGAAATGTATAATCTATTCCAAATCGCTCATTAGTTGAGCTAATGGTTTCTTGCTACAGATAAATATGGTCTCTAAGTACAATTGATGAAGTAATAATTGTCCTCCAAATGACAAAACTACACGTTGGACCAGGACTATCACATAGGGTTTTCTCTGATACAGTGCCCTGCTTCTCCATATTGTGCAGCTTATGTTCATATTTTACCTGTGAAATCATAGGGACCCAGCCCCAATTTTGTTGCTAACTACAAGTCAAGCTCATGTTTGCATATGTCTTTGAGTTTATTTTTTAAATTAGAAATGGCTCTTTGTAAAGACCACTGGAATATAAAATAGCTGGGAAATCAAAAGAGACTGGGGGCGGAGGCAGAAAAGAGGAGAGGAGGGTCCCAGCGAAGCCGATCCCAGCTACTTTTATTGTTGTTGATTCCCGTTGTCTTTGCAAGAGATGTTTGCAAGAGATTTTTTTAAAAAGTAAAATCTACAGTTTTAACTGAATAGTAATTCTATAGTCAATGTTTATTATTTGCCAGTTATTATTTGCCAATTATTATTATTTGCTGTACGTTAAGTGTATCTGCAAAAAGTAATGAATTATCATGCATTAATTATCTTTTGCATATGGACAATGCCATGCAGCATGCCAACTACTCGTTTGTAAGTCCTGGCAGGTCAAAGGGGCCTTTGGTGACATCTGCTCTCATCCCTTTCTAGAAGCGGAGGAGCTCTACCAGAAGAGGGTGCTGACCATCACCGGCATCTGCATCGCCCTGCTAGTGGTCGGCATCATGTGTGTGGTGGCCTACTGCAAAACCAAGTAAACCGTCCTCCTCTGGCCTTCTCCCTTCACAAACACATGGCATAGCCAGCAAGGGCTTTGCGGAAAGGCACCTCCACAGCTCAGTCTTGAAAAGAGAAGGGGGCACAAGGAGACTTTTCCCCTTACTTTTTCTTCTGAAAAATCTATTTGTAGGACGTTTCCTAATCGCATTAGAAAGCTTTGCTTATTAGTGTGAAAATGTTCAAACGACTTCTGATAAGTGACCACAGCCCCGTGACTGGAGATAAGCTTTGCTTATTAGTGTGAAAATGTTCAAACGATTCTGATAAGTGACCACAGCCCCGTGACTGGAGAAAGGGTTGGGGACACACACATGCGTGGATGTGGGTGCACACATCACATCCTGAGAGGAGAGTGGTAGGTGCCAAAGATGCGCTTATATGTCACTCACTGCTTAGCGCACGTCCAATTCACACTAATGCTTAAAAGATAAAGGAAACACTTGGTGGTGTTTGAAATGCAGTTTTCTGAACATTATACTGATTATTTTCAATTTCATCTAATTAAATTCCAGTTCAAGTGCTCTCAAAGTGTGAGATGTACAAAAGGAATCTCATGGGAGGAAAATCAAGCAAAACTTGCTTTGAAAGAACAAAAGGAAAATGTTAAAGCAGATTTGTGTTCACTGTGTTTGGTCTTTTAAACTGAGTCCATATTAAGAAATATAATTACTGTGTGACATGAATTCCCTCCACTTTCTTTCTGACATATAACCTCCACTTCAAGACTGAAATAATATTAACAATTTTGTTTTGTTGCTTCGTCATAGAAATTATCTTGCCAAAACTAGTCATGGGAATATTATTGTGATCTGAATGTTGCATTGAGGAACAAAGAATATATACTTTTATACCATAAAATCAGGGGCAAGGATGATGCTTTCTTAATATCCCAGGATTCAGTGTGTTGCCAGAATTTAGTAAGTGATAGAAGACAAGCCTTCGTGGAGTCCACCTTATGAGTCTTATTAGATTCAATCTCGATATTTCAATATTCATTACCAATTATCCAAAAAAGTGTTACTAGAGTAGGATTGTATTACAATTGTGCCAGAATCTACTGGGAAAATATATACATATCTTAACTCATGTACAATGCTATACTATTCGTGCACACACACTATGTATAATGTTGATTCAATACTAACTTCATTTTCTTAAGAGACACACAGGCAAAATTATAAATGAAATTGCTTTATCGATTGCACAGCACAAATTTTTACCTAAGACCAATGACTATCTGTAAGACTTAGGCAAAGACGGACTGACTAGGAAAGTTGGGGTTTTAGCCAAGTATCCATTTGGCTTATCTTGTCTTCTCCTGTCTCTTTTTTTTAATCTCTCAGCAGTCCAGTTAAATTTCAGCTTCTCAAAACTATTTGCTAATAACGTGCGGTTCCATATCTGCCCATAGGCAGATTCTGAGATAAAATGGCCCACCCTCACCCCCACCCCTACTACCAGTCTACTGCCTGAGTTACATGTTGGTCGATGAAAGAATTGACTGTACTAAGAAATATAAATAATAGAAAATAAATGCTCCATTTTTCATATGCAGGAAACAGCGGAAAAAGCTTCATGACCGGCTTCGGCAGAGTCTTCGGTCTGAACGAAACAACATGGTGAACATAGCAAATGGGCCTCACCACCCTAACCCACCCCCCGAGAACGTCCAGCTGGTGAATGTATGTTGACTCTGGCCAGTGGAAAAGCTGAGCATCTCTCCTCTGTTCAGGCACCTTGAAGTTTATTTTCTAAAGCTCTTAGGCTCTTAGCTGCTACCATTAATCTCCGCAGCTTCCAGGAATCCAAGGTTTCGCCAGGAGAAAATAATGGGGACATTTTTTAAAGTGGATTTGGTTACTGTAAAACCAGCACATTTCCTCTTCCAAAGTGTTCATTAAGGGGCTGGAATAATAACTTTGGGTTTGTTCTGTAGGGAGGCCATAACTGGAAGAAAGAAAAGGAAAACACAAAGAAAAAATAATAAAATTAATGATACAAGAATCAGAAGGAAATGTTTTATTTTTATAATTTGGAAATGAAGGCTACTCTAGTCTATAACTGATTAGTACTGATAACAGAGCTAAGGACTTTAGAGTGATTTTTATTAGAGGCATTTTACAGTGTCTGACAATCTGCTGATTTTGACTTACAGAGGAAGAAATTAGGGCATGGAAAGGTCAAGTAACTTATCAAACTTGCTTCTCAGCAAAACTGGAAGAATATAATGCTTTTTTATTCCCTGACTCTTTCTACATGATGTCAAACTCTCCAGGTGAAATATGCCCTTAATCATTCAAATATTTTGTTTAAAATTTACCAAGCACTCGGCTTTTAAATATAACTAAGTCATAGAATATTAGATTCTGAGAGTCTTTAGATATCATCTTCCAAACCTCCCCCTTTTACAGGTAAGGGCCAGTGCCAGACTTAGTTTTCCTGGCTTTTGAAGGATTGCTCTTCTTATTCCACTATGATTCTTCATTTTCCTCTGATGTTTGGCTTTTTATAAGCAAAGCTCAGAGATGATATCGCACTACCATTTTCTATCTTATAGAAAAAGGTATATTTTATGTGGAGCAAATATCTCATAGACCCAAGTTCAGAGTTGATGTTTACTAAATCACCAACAAATCTTGTAGCGAAGACTTTTGGGAGACTGTTAGAGTAAGGTGCTGATGTATTAATTAATGTTCTGCTGCTTTCCTCCCCCTACCAGTGTCCCTTAGAATGCTATGCACAGTTGATAAATGCATTCATTACAGACACACCTATAATCTGTCACTATGAATGCTATAATATATAGAAGGCAGAATGACTTTCTGGATTCCAATTATGGCTCAAGCTGTATGACTTTGGGCTTTAACCTTTCTAAACCTTTTTTGTTTGTTATGAAAACAGGCCTACAAATAATTACTTCAAAAAGTTCTTGTGAGCATTGAATGAGAGAATTATGTACAACACTTAGCCCAGTGGCAGTTAGTGAGTGTTCAAAAATTGTTAAATATTATTTTCATTAGAGTCACTGAACTTACATCGCCTTCCAAGGAGCATGATTGAAATGGTACAGAGGTTGGGAATAGCTCGCTGTATATGACATTGACATCTTTCCTTTAAAGCAGTCTAGCTGTACATCCCAGAAAGATCCACATGGTATAACTTTTCCGTTAAAAGAATCATCTAGAATTTTAAGCATAATTTAAGTTGTATATTTTGGGGTTTCCACAGATATATCAGGTCCCTTTACAGCCCAGAGCTCATCAGATTATAAGGGGCCTTATTTTATCTAAGAGTATTCCTTTCCATACCTCTTCTCATTTAACTCAATCTAGTGTAAATATTAACAGCATTTAAAACACAACTTCAGATGTGCCTCTTTCACTGATAGAAAGCGGTAATAGCCACTGTGATTTGGTGATGAAAATAAAGTAGAATCTACTTGCACTGTATATATTATGTGCTTCGTCAAGATGTGTGACCTTGGCAACTGCTGTAAAACCTTCAAATCTTTCAGTAACCTTGTTAGTCCTACCACTGACAATAAGTTAAGAATTTTGGTGATATCATTAAGGCAACATGAGCAGCGCTAGGAAATTGAAAGAAAAAGGTAGATTAAAAAAAAAAAGATTTAAAAAACAATTCTTCTACTAACTTAACATTTGAAATAAGACAAACCATCTCTATGCTTTTGTTTGACTCAATATCTGTTCATCTTTCACTTACAACAATCATGACAAAAATGAATACTGGGCAGAGATTTATATTGAATTCTCACATTATCAACTGGAAAGGAAATAGAAAAATTAGATCTGTTTTTATAATACGTAGTCATGATTGTAGGACCTACATTGGGTGCACATCTGGAAAGTAATTCATTAACTCCATTCATCAAATCTAAAAGACACAGTAGCGAGGGTAGGATTTGCCATCTGACCATTGGAGAAATGGAATATATTGTGGAGCATATGTACTAGAACAGATTTTTTGTGTGTCTAACAATGTTTTGATTTTCATGAATCTTCAAGTTGTGTCTCTTTGTTTATCCAGCAATACGTATCTAAAAATGTCATCTCTAGTGAGCATATTGTTGAGAGAGAAGTGGAGACATCTTTTTCCACCAGTCACTATACCTCGACAGCTCATCATTCCACTACTGTCACCCAGACTCCTAGTCACAGGTATGAGAATAAAACAATTGCATGGCATTTCTCCAAGAATGAATTTTTGCACATTTCTTTTGCTATCACTGCCTAAGAAAGGGACAGAAGACACTTATTGGACAGTGAAGTATAGTTAAATGTATGGTTTGGAACAAAAACAGACTTTAGACATCAGCTGGCTCTTGCTGTTTAAATTCGAGCCTTAATTTTTTTTATCACCAGAAAAGGGAAAACATTACTCACCTTAAGAATTGTTGTTTCCTATTTTAGAGATTATCTTTACTCATGCCCAACCGCTCACTGAATTGCCACACTAGGAAGAGTCAGTCTTAGATGCTCTATAATACTTAGAAGTTGACTTCTTCCAATAATTAAATTGCCCTGGAAAAAGTACATGAGAAATTGGTTAAATAACTGAACCCTAAATTCTCAAATGCCCAGGTAACCAAGGGCAACACTAGACGTCCAAATGTAGCTCAAAAGACAAATGCTTCCTTAACCTAAGTCACTCAAGAACACAATGATTATGAGAATACTTAGTACAGAGTGACATTTGATAAATATGTATTGAATGAATGAACAAATGAATAAACAGTATCCTTACAAAACCAATCCAAATCAAGTTCCTTTCTATATAGCAATTATCTTTATAACAATTGTATTCAGAGACAAGTAATGTTGTAGTGAACTACTGATGCACCAATAATTTGAAATATTTGCCAGATTACTTTCTTTCATTTCCATTTTTGCATATAACTTAAAAAATATATATATATCCATATATATATCTTTGCCTCTCACATTTCCCCTCTAGTTGGAGCAATGGACACACTGAGAGCATCATTTCAGAAAGCCACTCTGTAATCATGATGTCATCAGTAGAAAACAGTAGGCACAGCAGCCCAACTGGGGGCCCAAGAGGACGTCTTAATGGCATGGGAGGCCCTCGTGAATGTAACAGCTTCCTCAGGCATGCCAGAGACACCCCCGACTCCTACCGAGACTCTCCTCATAGTGAAAGGTAAAACCGAAGGGCAAAGCTACTGCAGAGGAGAAAGAACCCCAGTAAGAGAATCCCCGTGAGCACCTGCGGTCTCACCTAAGGAAATCTACTATAATGAGAATCAGGGGCAGCAGTTGCCTGTTCTAGGAATGCTCCTAGTTGATGAAGTCATCTTTCTGTTTGACTGAACTTATTTCTTCTGAGCTTCTCACGACGTCCCAGTGGCTGACAGGCAACAGACTCTTAAAGAGCTCAAGTGATTTGATGTGGAAAGGTGCAGCAAACTTGGAGTTCCTAGCTCCGACCTTAGGCTCAGACCCACTTGGGATTTGTTTCCTCAGTTGTAACTTTAGAGAGATGGCACCAATGATTGCTGAGGACCCTTCTATAATTCCAATTTGCCAGATATCCAAACTCTGGTCAAATTGACCTCATGTTCTCATGTGCTAACTCTCTCTTACCTTCTAGCCTCAGTTAAAGCAAATGGAGGGCTATGTCACTGCTGACTGTCATGGGGGACAACCGTTTGCATTACACCATAGATTATCCCTTTTATGAAATCCAAGAAAGGATGAATAAATAAATCTTTTGTATGCTGCACCTGGCAGTCTTCACAGGTGGTTTTTCAAAGCAGACATTGCCTTTAATATGGCCCTTTATTCCAGAAAGTTTTGGCTTTCTTCTGGGGATATCGGATTGGGGTTGGGGAGTTACAGCAAAGGTAAAATAAATAACAGAGAAAAGTAAATTGAAATTAATAGGAATACTGAATTTATAGATTCTTTTCATTTATTTTCACTTAAACTGGGAGAGAGTTATACTCAACCAGCATTTCTAGCCCATAAGTAAGCTGTTATTTGTTTTCAAATTCAGTGGGGTTTCGTTTGCTTATTTACTTTATTGTCATCTCAGTCTAATCTTTGACCAGTTGTTAAAAGATCTACACAATGTAGAATACATACTTATTTGGTATTTACATGAGTGGAGATAATTTTGATAGCCTCTTTCCTCATGAACTGGGAAGTGCTTACAACAAAGGATGACAAGTTCTTGGCTTTCAGGTCAGATACAGCCTGTTAGTCATTTCTTCGAGGGCCTTTATATGAAATATCCCAAAATGGTATGTCAGAGCTTTATGGAATTAATGTTTGCACTGTTCCTCTATTAAAAGGTAGGCATGGCCCAAAACTAGTTTAAAACATTACTCTTAAATTTATATAATTATAACTTTATGTATTAATGAAGTTTATCTGCCCTAATTTAATCTTTTTTGAAACCTGAAAAAGAGGCTAGAGGTAAATTCTTTTTTTATCACTACATGTGATATTTATTTTTAAAAGTTGACATTTCCCTACTGTGGTAGGCTTCCTTTCATATCCCAGATATTCTCTAGGACTGCATAATATAGCTGAACCCAGAGACCATGGAAAGAAAAGGTGAAGCATTTTTATGTGTTGGTTGAATTTGGATTAGCATTTCACAGAGAGCTTAATTTTAGTATCCCCAAAGCAAAAAGTCTGAAGACTCAAGCCCCAAATATTTCAATCTCTAGACACTTTTCCCATTTTAGATACAGCCAGATCTCACATCCATATAACTCTGAATCATGGCTGAAGAGCAGGAAAGTGAATGGGTTCCTGTTAGCTAATGTTCAGATGGTGGTGTCCTGTGTCATCCCAGGTCAAGACAAATTAGATTCTGTGAATGCCAATGTGAAGAAAAGAGTCACTGAGTGCTATGCGTTGGTAACATTTTTGTCAAAAGCTGAGAAATGTGACTCTGAATAAGCCACATCTTCAGTGTCAAGTAAGGTCTACTAACTCTGGAGGAAGAAAGCATGATATGGTAAAAACAATGCACTCAATGTCTTGTCAGTGAGATTCACTGAGCGTTATCAGGCATAACATGACATAAGGTAACATGGTACAGCTAACCCTTAAGCAGTCACAGAGATATGTCAAGATTGATGCAGCTGTTAAGTTTTGGAAGAAAGGTAGACCAGGAAGCTGACGTAAGGTTCTCTCAGGCTTATCTTTGAATGTCTTCGTCACTGAGATGGATAGTCGCAAATTGAATGTTAAGAAGTAGCATTTGGTGAAAAAATTTACAGCACACGAATGTGTTACACTGTTATCAGGAATAAATCTAAGTTACTATGCTCTTTTTTTTTCATAAGACATAACCTTATAGCTGAGCTAAGGAGAAACAAGGCACACAGATCCAAATGCATGCAGATCCAGCTCTCAGCAACTCATCTTAGATCTTCTTCCATTCCCCATTTGGGCTTCATTCTCTAAGACACTTTGGCCTTTAGGAAGGTATAGTATTTAAGTAATACTTCTTTCTCTTCCAAATCCCTGAGCCTTAGTCCTTATAAACTGAGAGGGTTCCAGGACCTAGTGCCCTCTTGTTTTGACTCATGCTTTTATTTAAAATCATGACGAGATTGAAAGTCTTAAAAGCTTTGATGAGCTAGGCAATTTAGCTGATCTGTGCATGCACTCCTGTGAGGAAACTCTTGGCTGCATAATTTTGGATTCCAAGGGTGCTGAATGTCCTAGTGTAAAAAGCAAGAAGTATACAACGAATAGAAATTCTTTGTTCTCTGGTTATATGTCCTGAACTCTGTCCCCTTACCCTTCCTACTCTATGTCACTTTTTCCACCACACTTATGTGGGGTATTCTATGCTCACACAGGTATGTGTCAGCAATGACCACCCCGGCTCGTATGTCACCTGTAGATTTCCACACGCCAAGCTCCCCCAAATCGCCCCCTTCGGAAATGTCTCCACCTGTGTCCAGCACGGCGGTGTCCATGCCCTCCATGGCAGTCAGTCCCTTTGTGGAAGAAGAGAGACCTCTGCTTCTAGTGACACCACCAAGGCTGCGGGAGAAGTATGACCATCACCCTCAGCAATTCAACTCCTTCCACCACAACCCCGCGCATGAGAGCAACAGCCTGCCCCCTAGCCCCTTGAGGATAGTGGAGGACGAGGAGTATGAAACCACCCAGGAGTACGAGCCAGCCCAAGAGCCTGTTAAGAAACTCACCAACAGCCGGCGGGCCAAAAGAACCAAGCCCAATGGCCACATTGCCAACAGGTTGGAAATGGACAACACCACAAGCGCTGAGAGCAGTAACTCAGAGAGCGAAACAGAAGATGAAAGAGTAGGTGAAGATACACCTTTCCTGGGCATACAGAACCCCCTGGCAGCCGGTCTTGAGGCAGCGCCTGCCTTCCGCCTGGCTGACAGCAGGACTAACCCAGCAGGCCGCTTCTCTACACAGGAAGATTTGCAGGCCAGGCTGTCTAGTGTAATCGCTAACCAAGACCCTATCGCTGTATAAACCTAAATAAACACATAGATTCACCTGTAAAACTTTATTTTATATAATAAAGTATTCCACCTTAAATTAAACAATTTATTTTATTTTAGCAGTTCTGCAAATAGAAAACAGGAAAATAAACTTTTATAAATTAAATATATGTATGTAAAAATGTGTTATGTGCCATATGTAGCAATTTTTTACAGTATTTCAAAATGAGAAAGATATCAATGGTGCCTTTATGTTATGTTATGTCAAGAGCAAGTTTTGTACTGTTACCGCGATTGCTTTTCCACAGTATTTCAGCAAAACCTCCCATACATTCAGTTTTTGCTGGCTTCTTGTGCATTGCATTATGATGTTGACTGGACATATGATTTGCAAGACTTGCAACGGTTCCTCTGTTTGCTTACAGTAGCACCCAATCAGTACGTCTTGTAATGGCACATCCATCCAAATACTCCTCTCTTTTGTATGAAGTTTTCTTTTGCTTTCAGTATATGAAATGAGTTGTGTCTACTCTGCCAGCCAAAGGTTTGCTTCACTGGGCTCTGAGATAATAGTAGATCCAACAGCATGCTACTATTAATTAAAGCAGGAAACTGCATTAAGTAATGTTAAATATTAGGAAGAAAGTAATATTGTGACTTTTTAAAAACTATATTATAAATCAGAAGACAGCTTGCTCTTACTAAAAGGAGCTACCATTTAATTTATTTCCATTTTTTTCTCGACAAAAAGCAACAGTTTTGAGGGTAGCATAGAAAATGCGTTCTGGCTTGCTACCAGGGTAAATCCAACACCTTATAAGAGGACTCAATTTCACTTTCTCTCTGGGGGAATGACATAGCGGCTCCTCTAATTGAAGAGCAAACCGTGGCTGGAAAAGGTGCAATCATTCCTGACTTGTGTTTTTCACTGATTTGGGAGCTAGTGATCGGTCGTGTCTTCTCAGCTCAAAACAGACATGCTATGGCACAAAAACCGCAGCTTAAACAGCACACTCAGCAGTTCACCTGAAATACTTCTAGAGTGAAACGTGCCTGCTGTACATAGTGGTGACATGTCATCATAGGGAAATAGAGTCTAGGAGTGAGTGTTTAGAGGACACAGGTGAAGAGCAGCTATGTGACTTAGTTGTGATCTTAAACGGTTTTGTTGGCCACTCCTTTCTCCTCATTATTTTTCCCTTATTTTTCGATGTCGCCTTCGTTAGGTCATAACTATGCATGAATATTTTTGTCAGGAATGGCCAATGTGCATGTGATTTGTGATTAGTAAGAACCTTTCACGAATGATGATGATTCACCAGGAAATGTCAATGGTGTTGGAAAGATTGCACCTTTCCTTGCAGAACTGACCCCCTCCTGTGTACTGACCTCTGATTTGCAGCCCGTATCAGCCATTTCCTCCCCTTTCTTACTTTTTGCTTTACTGTCTAAACTTTGCATGTTCTCTTGTGATTGTAAGTCCAAGGAAGGCCTAGAAGTATTAACATTTGAAAAAAACCGCTAATTCAGGAAAATAAGAGAATTTTTTAAGAATTCCAGACCTATTTCATGCCCTGCCTGATATCCGTCAAATTAGGTTGAAGCTTTACCTGGGTTCTAAATGGCCTTCTAGGAGCCATGGACAAAATGGGGAACAGATTAGCAAGGGATTCAAAATACCAGGCATGAAGTCAGAGTAACTGCTTCTTGTTTGCAAGTAAACTGAACCTATTTCTTTACCAAATCTCTATGTTTAAGTTAAAGGAAGAAATAACATGCAAGTAGGTCTTAGAAGAAAAATGTAGGCTGGACACGAGTCATATCATGAAGCTCCTATGTGTTTCTACAATCCACAGAGATGCCTATCTGCAGGTCCTTGAAGTTCCTCTGAGTATTTGGTAGGCCAAGCTGCCCTTCGATGTTCCCATCTGCTTCCTCTGTCCTCCACAGTGTCCTCGTTTGCTTGTTGACCTACACTGAGGAGCCCTGTCAGGCTGCACAGGTCACATTGATTTCCCAGTTCTGTAGAAACAAGTAAACTCATGGCAAGAGGGAGACAGTCAATCCAAAGAGGTTCTCTAAATTATTCTAATATTGCCTTTGAAGGGCTTGAGTCATTCTTAGATATTTCAATAAAGAAATTCCTATCAGTAATAAAAATATTAAAATTTCTGTTTCAAAGTCTTCAGGCTCTGGAGTATTCAAATGTCTCATTCTGGAGAATTTCAGGAATAAACGAAATAGTCTGTTGAGAGCAATGAACATTCTCCTGAATGTGAAAATTGCTGTGAATTTTCAGGTTGCAAAAATACATGAAAACTTAGGATAAGAGGAAATCTCATTTCCGATTTGATTCTGGTTATTCACAGAGGTGGCGTTTGTTGGGATGGTGTTCTCATCTTATCCCTTGATAAGAAAGGACAGCTGACTCCTCGGGGCTACCCGCTGAGGCCACCAGATTTGTGTTCACAGGGATATCTCTGTGACATTTAATTGACACATCGCTCTCAACTGTCCCTGTTTTGAAACTCAGGCAGTGCTGTGGCAATTCAAAGGAGCAAGACCTATGTTCCCAGCATGTGGAAAGATTTTGTGAGTTTTTGGGTAGTGGAAATTGCCCAGAAGTTCAATAACAACTTTTTTTCCTAGGCCCGAAATTATATCCCACTGAAGGATATGCAGCGGAACATAGTATATGCAAAACTCCTTTTTCTCACTCAAGATTCCTTTTCTGTTCTACTCTCCCTTCTTGCTTGGTATGACTTTTCTTCAAGAGTACCTGGACAGCTCATGCTTTCTACAAAATAGCACTCTACCTGTGTGTATGTGAACGTGTTCCAAACACCAATATGCCACATCTTCCTTGTTTAAGTGTGACTGTTTTGATACAGGTGGAGTTTATCCAGGGTAACTTGCTCAGTAACTATTCCTTTTTTTTTTTTTTTTTTTTGGCCTAAGGTTGAAAGGTGCATGATTCACATTAGGGAAAATAAGGAAGGCCTGGTTTTATCATTTAGTACTGGCTGCATTCCTCCAGCCACAGTGATTTCTATCTACAAAGACCCATGAAATACTGCAGAGAAATGCAGACAAAAAGAAATGGCCATGTATCACGAGTTCTATTATGTATTCTTTTGTAAATACACATTGTACATTACTTGGATATTTTCCTAAATCATTTACTGTCTTTATGAGTTAATGTCAGATTTTTACTCTCTCAACTTACAGTGTAACATTGTAAATAACATAATGTCTTTTATTATTTATATTTAAGCATCTAACATAAAGTCGTTTTCATATAAGTTTAAGATAAATGTCGAAAATATATATTTTTTGTTTTTCTTTGCTTTAAAATTATGTATCTTTTCCTTTTCCTTTTTTTTTAAAGAATAATTTATTGTTCAGGAGAAAGAATGTATATGTAATTGAAACTATTTGAAGAATGCACATTTGAAGGCCGTGAGGTACTGATAAACTAAAGAATTTATTATCCAAAATACTAAGCAATAAGTAATTGTGATTTATTTAAAGTTTTGTTCATTTTTCATGAAAGACATTCTGCAATAAAAACGCTACTCTGTGGAGACCCGGGAGTGTTGCTCAGCAGACTAGTGTTTCAGTCTGTTAGACCAGCACCTTTCGTGTTACTGCGGCAGCTGTGCTAACTTAGGAATATGTTCGGTGGGCGCCATGATCATCTCGTCTGTCCGTTGCTTGTGCCACGCTGCTTACTCTCGAATCATCTTCTGCCTATTGATTCTGCTTACCGCTGTTTAAGGGGCAACAACCGAGCAATATGATGTTTTCTTCCCCCTCTCCACACATACAGTAACATATCAGAGAGGACATTTTAGGGCATGATGGCCTGGATCTTGGTTGTTAACATGTTCTGTAGCGACAGTAAGGAACCTGGTCAGACTAATGGAAATTTCAACGTGGCAACTCCATGCATTTGTGAAAAGAAAACCTGTTATTATGATTTAAATAGTCTGGTGGCCATCATAGTCTGAAAGGCAGCCAGCCAGAACCTGGCCATACCAAGCTTTCCTGCAGCTTTAGGAAATTTATTTTCCATCAGGTTCATAATTTATTGCTTCACAGTTTTAAGAAAAGATAGGTTAAGTTGGGTGCATTCTCTTCAGTCTATCAATAAATTAAACTAAATGCCCATCTTACTGCTCAGGGAAGGGCCTATGCATGAGAAATTTCTCATATTCTAAGACTTAGTCATAGAAATGAGGATATTACTTTTCTAACTGAAATTAGCTACACAAAGCCATATTTTAACAAATAGATATTTGAATGGGTGATACTTTTTTATATATTTTAAGCATTTCACTCATTATTCCAAATAGGATAAGGGTATGAAGTAGAGGTCAGCAATCCTTTGGGGTACACAATAGCCTTCTTTGCAGTCTGGGGGTACCCTGAGACTTCCTTCTCGTCGACATCCACTTCCATACATGTACGTGATTTCTGTTACCTAGTAATAGTTCTACTAGTGTCATCTCCAAGACAATCTGTGTCTAGGAGATTCAAAGAGTGATCTCTGTGCTAGTTTTTACTATTCATATTACTGAATTTTCAAAACTATTCAGAATCTTCACATTTGTGTCAACTGAGGTTTACTTACACATACATCCACATAACACTAATTCTGAATATACACTAATCTGAGGCTACCACATTCTTTCACTTGTTCAATCTAACCAACCAGCCATTCTGAAAATCAAGGATTGCACAGAATGTTTTAAAATTAAAGACAAAGATACTTCCTATGTCTTCAAGTTTAAGCTGAGGCTTTGTCCATCCCCCGAATTAAAAACTACAAGTAGCTGTCTTAGTAACTTAGGTTAAAATTGGGTACCTAAGATATATTGATATTTGAGGCAGAAGCACGTATGATAGAGGGTGGTAGGGAGAGTGAAGATTCGTGGATAGCCAAATCAAATATCTGGATAATTATTATAATTCTCCATCCACTTCAACCATGTAGACTCTTGAATGTCTAACCCAAGCCAGATCTGCAAACTAGCAAACCATCTGTCTTTTCAACCTAATGTCTTCCCCATCATTAGATTTCTTTGTTCTTTGTCCTGATGATGAATGACAAAAGGATTTGATGTCAGGGATGGGGGTTAAGTGAGGCAGTTATGAAATCTAGAGATTTAGGATGCTGGAAAGACTGGAAATTTTTAATGATCTCATGGGAATCTCATTGCACTCTATCTCTGACTTTCCCTCACTAAAGTAGATGATGAAATACATTTATGGAAACTATTACTCCAAAAGATTAATTGGGTAGAAAATAGAAATACTTTCGGTTTATGAAAGACAGAACCATCCTGCTGCTGTAAGAAGCAGCAATATTCCTAACCTTTAAAGCTATTTTTGGACAAAGTCATCAGGCTCAATCCTGCATGTACCTTTGGGCTCCTGTTGACATCCTGGGACTACAAATGTTGGCTCTCTCTGGTGAACTGTTGGTTTTGAACTTTGGTGAGCTCTGAAATAGCACCCATCAGGGGAATAAGAAAAGGATTTTGTTACCTGGAGGAAAACTATCATGACCTACATGATCCTTTTAAAAACATAGTAGGAGAGGGAGACCAATAATTCCTAAAGAGGGGACAGAATGGAGTAATAGTTCCACCCAGGATCTTTTTTAACACTTTCCCTTCAAACGGGCTTATTGAGACAATTCGATGGAGGAAACAACATCCCGACAGCATAGCGAAGAGGCCAAATTACTTATAGACGTAAACATCTTTAGCAGCTTAGGTGTAAGTTTGTCCACATGCAGAGAAATAACCTATTAAATGTAAATAACATTTTACAATGTTTTATGGCTTAAAACATCTTTTATCTTTTTTATTTTCTTAACCCCATGAGAAGTCGATATTCTAAATGACGAAGAAAATTTAGACTCCAGGAGGTTAAAAATCTTTGCTGAAGCTACACATCTAGTGAATTGCAGAGATAATATTAGTACCAGGTTTTCTGACTACAACTCGTATTTCTGTTGATTTACTCCTCCCCTTCCCCTGATCCATGCACAAACAAGTCTTTCCTTTTTAGCCTTTCATTATATGTATAGTACAAGTTACATTCAAAACCAAGTTTCTGTTTGAAAGACTGTGAGCTTCTTTGGCTTTGGTTTAGAATTACTGTAGAACCCAAATTGCTTGGCTTCGTGACTCTATGTACCTTTCTCTAAGTGTAGCTTTGTAAGAAAATGAAGTATGGCCATTGGAATAAATTCACAATTTCAATATGTAGGTAGCATCCTGCAGTGAAAAGAGGAGGGGCTTTACTGTCCCCACCACTTAGCAACTTTGTGAATTTGGACAATTTCCTTCTCCAAGCTTATTTTCTGATCTTTAACATGGCAATCCAACTGAACTAGCGTGGTGATTCTATTTGAGCACATGTAAGGAAGCGAGAACGTGTCCACCATAGTGAATATTCAAATGCTGACTTCCATTTGTTTTTTTCCCCTCCAGGTTCTTAAGTTTTAGAACTTAAGTTTCTCAGTTCCAAGTGACATACTCTACATTGCACAAACCGATCAAAACTGATCAAATAAATGTTTTATCGTTTCTCCAACCTAATAAGCAAATATTTGCCAACAAGCAAATTCTTTTTTAATAACAACTATATATTGAGCAGCATAATCACTAAACAGCATTAAAGGTAGAGTTTAAATAAGTTCTTCATGTATTTTATGTTTGCTTTATGTGTAGCCACACTGTTTTACATGAACTCTAATTTTTAATGGCTTATTCTATTAATGTTGAAAACTTACTGAAAAGTAACTCTTTGTAGAGTTTTTAATTTTCAAAGTTCATTGCAAACATTTAGTTTGGCAATCAATAAATGATCTTAAATTGATAGGATATCTGTGCACACCTGTTTGCCTTAGTTTGCACCCAGGATGTTCAAACATATTCCATTTCCTTAAAAATCTATAATCCAAAGATCCAGGAAAAGGTCTGCATTGTGACAAAATTAGGGAAGTCAGGTCTCAGATTAACTCCTATCTGTAAGAAACCACATTGCTTATGGATGTTTCTCACCCATTCCCATTACCTAACCAATAATCTTAAGGTTGTATTTATTCTTCACTCTATGCATAAAACAGATTTTTTTTTTTCTCATCTTGGATATGAAGCATTTACTAATGTCTAGATTTAAGCTTTTTGGATTCACTCCTCTAAAACTTCATTCTACATCAAGGGTGGTGGTGACTTGGTCTCATGATCTCCACCCCCGGGCTTATGGTATAGACAGCATTAATGGCAAAAGAGTCTAATATAATTGTCCACACATTACTTATCATTTAAATAAAAATGTATTTTATTGAACATAATCCTAACTCTAGCTCCTCAGAAAAGTAACATATAAGGGAGTTTTCTTATTTTTTAAAGAAATAATCTAGACGTAAACATTATATCTTTTTAATTATGAATTATCATTGTGAGTTAAGCTAACACTTGTCTTCTAGTCTGTGACTTTCATTAGGTGATCATTCTTTCCTGACCTTGAGCCCTTTTCTTGAAGTGAGATGCTCAGAGAGACTTCAGGCTAGGGTAGTTTTCTAGAACGCTTCCGGTTTCTCATAGTTGAGCTTACGATGAACTGCTCATCTTCAGCAGTGTGTACTTCAGCAGTCAATAAGGCAGCAAAACATAATTTCCCCTTGGATCCTGGAGTGTCTCTCCACCATAAAGAGTAAGGAAGAGAGGAAATACCATGTGTGAGAGCCACTCATTCTGAGCTCCTCAATTCCCAGGAACCAGGTTTCTTCCAAATACGAGATGTTTCTGCCATCACACAAGAATCTCCTACCAAGATTACATTCTCCCTTCAGAATATAAACGTATATATGTGTATATATATATATATTTTTTTTTTTTTGAAAAATAAAGACCTCTCTTAGTAACTCCTTAGTTTATTGACCTTCTTTGATTGCTCTACTTTCAATAGCTCTGAAGACGAGGGACCAAATAATTTCACACTTTGAACAAAAATTCAGTCAGAAATCATGGGGTTTAGGATTGAAAGTAGTTTTATTAAACTAGGAATCTTCTGTGATTGTGGGCCCTTTAGATAATTTCAGGGCACAGTCACATGGCATCATATGCTTTCCATTATTTGCTTGACTAAAATCTTTTCTTTCACAATGTAAAAAGATGCTAACTCCATCACACATGTTGAGTTCTGCTCTGTTTCTCTGAGAAGTTGGATCTCTAGCCAGGAGTGTGAAAGAAGGGCTTTGGGTTCTTCCTATTAGGCTATTAACACAGAGTTATTGAGATTTAGAACTTCATTCAGAGTTAAAAAAAAAAATTATGTCAATTATCAAGCAAAGAAGCAAATAAGGGAAAATATCCCCTCACGTGGTTGAGAAAGCCACATGTCACCCACTGATCATGCCAGAACCTGAGCAATATTATGGATTTCTCTCTCCACGTCTAATTGGTGATAGTGATGGTTGTACCACTGACATGTCAAACCAATTCCTCCCCCTTCAGAGCCCCTCTGCTTGCTCCCTTGGTCATACCCTCGTTCTCTCTCACTTGGCCTCATCA